TGGTTGATTAGTAACACCAATGTCTAGCCTTGCGCCAGGGCGTTCTGCTTCCTCACACGCGTTCTTGGTGTATGACAGAGAATGCTATAGCTTCCGTGGGTTTCGCACTTCGGTCCTCCGTGGACGGCGACACATGTACCGGATCAGAATACGGTCAAATTAAGACTCACGGACGCCAGGTATAGGATTGTCTATCTTCCCAACAGCTAAGGAATATAGACGGGATGATCCTGGAAAATGAAGCTGGCTCCAAAAACCAGGCACTTTAGGGCTAGGTTTACTGCAGCTTTTGACGCAGTGTTTGTCGTGATTCATGAAAGCAAGTGAAATCAGGCCCTCAGCCTGACAAAAAAGTAAATTCGTTTTCAATGCCAAACAGGTTCAGTAAAATAACTTTGCTGGTCGAATCAAAATAGTTGAGGGGAACTAACTGTAAATAGCATTATAATACTGTCTGAAATGATTAGACAGAGTGGAATGCAACAGCGCAAGTCCTTCTACATTACCAATAGTTCTATCTGCCTACACCAACGGCATGGTTAAAATCATGGCCAGCTAGTCAAGTAAACTTCTGAAAGTAACTGAAAAGCAGTGGTATATAACGTAACAAACAATTGTGAGAAAATGAAGTCGACTATCATAGAATCGTCCAGGTTCTATTGGCTGTCCATGATCCACAAACCGAGCATTCCACTTAGGCCAACTGTCAACATGAAGAGTGACTCAACCAACAACTTCGACAAGGGGGTGACCAAAAATTCGACTTCCTATGAGGAGAGCTCCCAGTCCTCTGCGACCTTTTAGGGGGAAGGGTTCAGACAAATAAAACTAATGTTTTTTGAGGTGTCATCGTGTTTTAATTCTAGTTCTCACTTCTTGTCTCCCAAGTCGAATGCAAGGACCCGAAAGAGAAACACGACGAAAGACAATGACTAAACATGATCGGGCACTTGGTAAAATTGTCCTGCCAAGGGATCCACACAAAGAGGTCAGCGGACTCCGATAGGCATCCAAGTCTCTGACCTAGTTACGAAACTCCTTATAAGAGAGCTGGAGAAAGTTACTTGCAGCCATCACGACACATTAGTAAAAACCAAATGGAGTGTGCTTTGAAATTCCTAATGCCATTCCATCGCCAGTTTGCTGGACGCTCGGTTAAGTATGGAGGCGGACTGTCGGCGTCCATTCATCGCCGTCCTCGCCACGAGAAAATCGCATGATGAAATCGAAGTGCGAATGTAAGGAAAAGCAACAAGCACGACGCACATATCCAGCTATCAGAGCATTCACTTGGTGAAGTAAAAGCGGAGCTAAGACAGGAAGCTTCAAAGGAGGCAGAACCCACTGGCTTAATCCTAAAGAAGGAACACACTATGCCCGACACCTACATGTCTGAATCCCACCAAATGACTACCCATATACTTCACTAAATCGATACGTGTGTGGCCGTCCACGGAGGACCAAAGTGCGAAACCCACGGAAGCTATGACATTCTTTGTCATACACAAAGAACGCCTGCGAGGAAGCAGAATGGGCTGCCGCAGGGCTAGGCATTGTCGGGTGGGGATCGGTTGCACTGTTCTGGTTCCAAATGTAAGCACAATATGGGCAGTGCAAGTAAAGTATGCCGAAGGAGGACACCGAAATCGTTAACGCGAAGGCAGCTAAACATAAAACGAAAAAGGGCAACCTGAAGTTTCGGTTTAGAGGTAGGGTTGGTTTTAGAGTCTCGGTTAGTGTCGGTCGGAGAATTGAATGTAGGGATAGGGTTTGTGATAAGTTTAAAGATTAGAATTAGGGTTTCGATTGCGACTTGGGTTTGCATTTAGTATTAAGGTTTGGGTCAACGTTAGTATTGTGGTAGGGTCAAGGTTAGGGCTATAGTTAAGGTTGAAGTTAAGATTGGGCTTGGGTAAGGGTTAAGGTTAGGCTTGGGGTTAGTGCTAGGGTTTGTGGCGGGTTTGAGGTTAGATCAAGTATTAATTTTGGGATTAGTGTCGAATTTATAATTGTGTTAAGGATTAGGTATGCTTTTGAGGTTACGGTTAGATTTGCCGCCAGATTTGGGGTATTGCGGCCCCGCGTGTCCTGTCAGCCAGGTCTTCTGCGGGATTCTAGGGTTCCTTCGCGCTCGCGACAGATTTGTCATACATCAGGTTGCGTCTTACGTTCCAGCCTCGGCTACTCCCCACTAAAGCTTTTAGCATCCCCTTTTAGCTTGCTTTACTATCAACGCCTGCATTGTGCTTACACTTGGGACCAGGGCAACGTGCCTGATCCCTGCCCATTTGCGTTACCAATCAATTGGAGTCAGTCGTGCTCAATCCACTCATGCGTGATGAAGACCAACTACGATTTGGCGAGTAGTCTGATCCAGCCGATTAAATTTCTTGTCGCAGTTGTAGCTGTAACCACACAGTCCCGACTGGACGAAGGTTGAAATAACGGCTACGCAAACGTGAGCGTATGGTGCGGGAGTAACACACTGCCACAGCCAGTCAACTTCTCAGACTCGAGGATAGTGGTCCGACTGATGATACAGGCCAAGAGGAAGTTCCAGGAAGCAGATGTTATGGAGGGGACTCCATAGTTGGAACCAGCTTTTCTTCACTCGAACCCGCCATCTGAGACAATAACAGAAAAAGAATAGCGAACGTACAAGGCGATGCAGCATTTAAAAGGTGTAGTCGCTGCACACATGTACGCCAAATGAAGTCAACAGCTCCCACCATCCTCATAGATGCTCGTACTCGGTGCGATACTTGCGTGGTCGCCCACAGCAGAGTCCTCAATTATCGCGGTTTCGTCACCAGTGTTGGTTATGAGTACTCAGCCATTTGGCTCACAACTGCAGTCACCGGGTGCAGTGTTCACATGTGTACCTACTTTCTGTCGGCGTGACTAACCCCTCTACTCTGACAAGGCCTTAGTATTGAATAGGACGGTACAGACGATTGCTCTTGATGTACTGTGCACCAGAGTCCCACAATTCATGTAGCTTGCAACCCATGCGGTTGTAACCTGGCGCGAGAATTTCGGCCTAGTTGAACTCGGTCGGGCTCCGTCCGAATAGACTGACTTGAGTGCTGCTGCATTACCTCCCACTGCCAATGCGTGTTCAGTCGACCGCGTCGACGCTGAATTTCCATTTGCTTCGAAGTACTTGCTGTGTCTGCAGCTGCGCCGGACTTCATCATGGCTCCATACGTCTCCTATAGAGGTGGCGAGTCTTTCGGACTCATCAATTGGCGCCTGGTGACTGCCTCCCGCTGCGTTTAAACTCGGCTGAATGTTCTGCAAAGGTGGCCGGCAACTTCCAAAAGCCCTTTGAGACCGACGCGCTTTGCTGTCCCCATCTCCCCAGTTTTTGCATGCACCGGTCGACGCGGTTGAGCGCAATGAAATTACCGCAGTACGTCTCAACGCGGTGACAAGGTTCGCCTATGCGGCTGCGCTTGTGGCCCATCCGCCGGTCTATTCTGATTGCAGGACGGACCTGGGTTCGAGTTCTGGATAGGTAGGCTCTCGCTTTGGAGCAATGCTGTCCGAAGACTGTAAGCAGCAACTGACCGTTGCACTCCCTTAATTATCTATAGCCTTTATCACAGGTCCCTTTTTCCGTTCACGAAACTGCACTTGTTCAGGAAGAGAACTGGCGTTTGCCGGGAGAGGTGATTTTGGGGGCTGGAGAACTAGACTTTCATGCCTCATACTTGAAGGCATTGTGAAAACTTGCACTAATTATTGAGGGGCGCTCACCGATCATTTTTACGGAACTCACCTGTCCCTCTACCATTGTATATTCTCGATCGCAACCGACAGGACGATGGGCCCGTGGCTCAGTGGTTAGAGGCGTTGGACTCCTAACCAACAGGTCGCTGGATCGAAGCCCAGGTGGTACACACTTCTGAGTTGAGCATGACTGACTGGCGACGGCTAATAAGCCAGAAATGGCCATTCCAGTCTTCCTCGTCTTTTTAGTAATACCATTCTGCCTACATCACACCAAGACCCTCGGTCATACCAGCAGTTTGTCGGAAAAATTTAGTTACTTAGTCAGCCGCGGCTGCAGGTGCATTCATGCCTCCTTTTAGCAGTCGCATTCAGACCCGACAGGTGCGTCGCGGTCGGCTGAAGAAAACTTTACTATGCCTTAGACCGTTGTTCCAGGCCCCCTCCGTAGGCGAAGGGCACACCTGTACCGGTCGAGAAATCCAATCCCGATGAAGATAGCGGGAGACCGGAAAGAGCACTCGTACTCCGAATAAGGTGGTGCACAAGTTGGCACCCCACAGAGAAACTTAGGACCCTTGAACGGACGAAACGCGAACGGCCGGACAGTGAGCAATATGAAGTAAGTGATTTTGTAAATAAGTTGATTGAAAAAAATGCCTGTGCAGGGATAAAAGTACAACGGTGAACTTGCGACAGAGCTGGGTGAGTTTTCAATAGCCCAATGAGATTCGTTAAAGATTGATGTGGGGGGAGGGGGTTAGAGGGATGGGAGAACAGCACAATTCAGACGAGCAGATGATAGGGCGGGCATAAGTTACAACGGATGGGAGAGGGGGAAAGGCGAGAGCTAGGATGGGCAAAGTGTACCCCAACAGGCACTGCGACGCCGTTTACCCCAGATGTGGCGATGAGATAGATGTTGTAACATGAGAGCTTGGGATAGGATGGCTCGCAGGATAAAAAATTGCAAGTGGGGCAGTCGTAGGTAAAATCATGTGATCGTTGTAGTTTCAAGGCAAATACAATGTAGAGTAAGAAAGTAAAATTGGCTGTGTTAACACAGCTAAGTCATTAAAGAAACGCACTCGGATCTGCTCGTAAATAAATGTGCAGTCAGGTTGGGTGTGCGTGTTGTGGGTATTTGTACACTCATAGGTATGTACAGGGATCCGGAAAACTTGCTGGAAGCCAGCATCAGTTCTTCGGGAATAAGACTATGAGGTAGAAGGACAGTATACATCGCGACCACAAAAGAGAGCTCACGCTCAGCTAGGGTCTTCCGACTGATAAAACCCAGTAAGAACAGGACGTGGATAGAATATACTCATCTCCGGTGTTATGCCTGTTTCCACGGAACAAACCGCCTTGGAGGTGGCCGCACCTATTCGGTTTTTGCCGATGGTAAAGTCGGTCCGGTCACAGGCAGCCCGCTGAGTGGGTGAAGAGTCACGAGTGCTGAGCACATCCAAGCAGCGCAACCATAGAGACGTGTCGGATAGTTCAAGGGGCGCAGCACTAAGGGCCCGATGATCCACATCCGCGGATAGAAACTGTCTATTGTCGTTAGACGTGGAGTAGCGGAGAGCTAGGAGGTTGTTGCAGGACACCGAGGAGAAGGGGGCGTATGACACCAAAGGACGGCTAGTACCTCCCGGCGGTCGAAACGCAGGGAAGGCCATAGGCTGGGCGCAAGGTGGTGCTTCCGAGGTCTGCGAGCAGCTCTGGTAGTGAAATTCACTGTTCGCGGAGGTGGATAAAGAGGACGAAGAGTTTGTGGAACTTGAATTCTTTGCAGCTGACTTGCTTCGCCACTCCTGATTCCCATCAACAATAGTGCAGGCAGCCCAAACGGGCTGAGTGGTGGGCTTGCTCGCGGAATTGGCCACTGAAACGGCACCCCCAAAACGTCTCTTTCCCTCGTCCGAGGAGAGTGAGTTTGAGCGTGAATAGTAGCCAGAGCTGGCGTAGGACCGGTTGGAGGGGACACGGCATAATGGGTCAGACTGGCCGCAACAGCTGGTGGCTACATGTTGCAACTGGACGTTCTCCTGTGGTTCATGGAAGGCACGGTAATTGCTGGGGTCGGTTGTGGCGGGAGAGACCCGATGGCCGACCGACAGGTCGAGGGCAGGGCCCGAGCAGCAGGATAATCGCTGCTCCGAACTTGGGCGCTTGGACGCAAGAAAGGAAGAATTACTTGGCGGTGTCGGGGGTTCCGGCAAGGAGGGTGGTGAGGGTGAGGAGGACGAGGAAGAGGATGAGACGAGGACTGCACATTCCGGCCGCACTGAACCGGTGCGAGATGAAGGTACGTCAATGGGCACAGAAGCGAGGTTGCAGAGACCGGACCTGATGGATCGGGGACAGGGCATGGTTGACAGCGCAGCAGCAGCGAGGACTGGTGTAGTGACGGAGGCAACCAATGGGGTGTCGGAGTAAACAAGCGCATCGAGAGCCACGCGAGCCGACAAAGGAAGAGTTGCGCCTGGCTTAGGTCGATGCATCTGCATCCACGGGTGTCGTAGAATTTCCACGAGAGTAGGACGCTGGTGGGCATCGCGATTCATGCAGGCACTGGAAAAAACAATCGCGCGGGTTAGCCTTCCGAAGGGTATGCACGGATCACATATAAAACTAGATAAATTGAATGCTCTTAGCACGACTGAATTGTTATCCAAGGTTCGTGCAACACCTGCGACGAACTGGAAATGTTGAACCAGGCTCAGTTTTCGCCTAACAGTTTAACATACAACTAGATTTTCCATACTAGCTAAAGCTATGTGACACAACTAGGGGGTCCGGCTCATGCGTTGGTTCTCCGTCGTTTCCGATGTGGTTTTTGACGTAAGTGTAGTTCCCGAAATGAACGTTACAACTTCTCGAAAAACTTTGAAAGAAATCACGAAAGCGAACATGTCAGGCTCGAGTTGTTTAAATTCAAATGAGTGTCCGTATAAAGTGCGTACGAGTGAACTCACCCTATTAAGTGTTTAGCTTCCTCGGAAAGTCCCTCCCGGCGATATTTAAGACGTCCACTAATAATACCCTTGTCGTTGACAAATGGTACATCGCCACAAAGCATGTCATAGAGGAGGACGCCGATCGACCAGACCTCAGCGGGTTTGCCGTAGTACTGGCTGTGAATAATCCACTCGGGCGGACAGTAGACGCGTGTTCCTGCAAGGGAGAAAAATCGCTACAATGAAAAGGAGTCTAGGAAGTGCAATTCTGGAGGTTATTCACAAATTAAACGAGAGCTCAAAAACAACGAAAATTGGCCCGTCAAAGGCGTGCCGCAGCTCAGCCACCGAATTCGTGGCTGCCACAACGATCAGTACAAATGCCCACAATAGCATAAGACCGGACTGGTTGCCAAGTTCGCAATTCAAACCCCCTTGCCGTCCAAAAGTTCAAGCCGACAAACAATTGTTCCCATACACTTTTAAACTTGGGCAGTGTGCGTAGACTTTGGTTTTATGGCTCTTTCATGCGAAACCATATACATAAACAGATTGAGCCCTGTTAACGGAATCTGTACTCTAGTTGAATTTGAAACCAGAGATCCGATAGAACGGGAGAGGCAATATTCTCTGGAGCTAAGAAATTCACACAAGCGCTATTAGTCTTATTCGAAAAGCAGATAGTCTATGGAAAGGAAATTTGGTGTGTTCCAAAGTGAAACAGTCATTCAGGCTAGGCTTGCTGAAAACCGCATTTAGGACAAATGTCAATGGTCGACTTACCATCAAAGTCTGTATAGAGTTCGTTATGCAGGAAGGCTCCCGAACCGAAGTCAATGAGTGTCAGCTCATTTGTGCTGCGGTCAATTAGGAGATTCTCGTCCTTGATATCGCGATGCAGAACGCCAGATTTGTGACACTGGAAGAGGATCCCAATGAGTTGATACAGGAAAAACGCCGCCTCGGGTTCTGCGAGGGTGCCACGCTCACAGATGTAGTCAAACATATCGCAGACAGAATCATTTATACCGTTCATCACGATGACCCAGGTGTCGCCCAAATTAAAAACATCCACCATCCGCACAACACCATGGAGGTGCTGGCACATCTGGAGGAGGACCACCTCGATGGGAACAAGGACCCCGTCGAGCTAAAAGAGGAATGAGAATGAGGTGAGTCGGACTGGAACACGGCTAACAGGCTTTGAAAATTGCCAGGGACCAGGGCGACTTACAGCACACCAGCAGGGGACCTTGTTCGTGTTAACTTCTTTGATAACTACATCACAGGCATCTTCTAGTCGGGTACCGCGAAAGACGCTCCCAAAGCCGCCTCCGCCAAGCTTATCGCCCCGACTGTAACGACCAACGAACTCCTCGCGGCCCTGGTATATTGTGAGGTCTGGAACGAAACAGATGCTTAAATGTAGGGGATGAGGGTTGAATTGATAGATACAAAACGACAAAATGCGAAGTTCATTGGTCTCTGTGGTGCTCAAGCACAACTATCAAAATCTAAATTGGCATTTAGTTAGTTTTTGAAGTGATTCAATAGATTAATTTACTTTGAATGGCATACCGATTTAATCTTTTGTTGTATCGGTATGAGAACCTTCAGCCCAGAAAGTACTTAAAGCGGGCAGATACTGCGGCCAACACGTGCGGTCATACATGTTTGCATTTCTTGTTAGTACTACAAAGAAACCAAGCTGGACACCAGAGGAGGGCCCGAGGATATATCACTGTCCGGGAAAGCATTCCGTTATTTAAAATACACCGGAACAGCAAGGTTCATTACCGGCAACACGCGAAGTGATAATTTGACTAAAGAGATTTAAAGATCTCAATCCTGTAATAACCGTACAGCTCAGTTTATTCGAGGGAAATTCAGGTATGCAAATCTCGACTCCCCATTTGTTACAATCAACTGCAGAGGAGAGCAAAAAACGATACCACATTGTGATTGACACCGGCGAAGACGCCGCTGTTGAGTGGAGTGTTTGGGGCATTTGGCGCGTAGTAAGAATTAAAACTTACTTTTAATGACAGGAGGGAAGTTCTACTTTCTCTGACTTAAGGCTTCGGGGGGCGATCTGTGTCTTTAAGAAGTCATCTTATTTACCGACCGATGAGTTATAAATGCTGTTTTACTATCACTCAAATGCAAGACCTCCACACACTGGAAATGAGCCTCTCTAATATACTGTGAAAACCCCACCAACCACAGTGTGAAAATAAAGGCGCCGAGAGAGAAATGCAAACGTACTGATTCCAAGTTCGGCCGAGCTTCTCATAACCAGCCGTGCAGTTGCGGATGGTAATTGATATTCCACATCGCCTACTGTGTCATCAGCCATAGTAAAATCCATAGAACGGATCGAGCCACAATGACTAAGGACCCGAAGAGACCACGACGCAGCAAGGAGGCGTGACCGAAGTAATATCCGCAGAGCTCTATGCCTGTGCTTAAATTCAGACGGCCTGTGCGCCCTGAAGCACTGCCGGAGGTGACGCAGCGAGTCAACGTCAGGACAACCAATCAGAAAGCTGAAAAGGCAGCTGGTGCTGTCATTGGTTTAATAGTCGGTGTGACAGTCGAATAGGCCTTGCTGCAGCTGCCTACGCTCTTAGCCAATCAGCACACAAGGGCCAAGGCTGTTACCGGCATCGCGTAGGCCACGTAACAGCTTCATTCAGATAGTATAGCTAACCAAGGGATAAACTGCACTGACGCACTTATTTGGCTCGCGTAGGATACTCTAATGCCAGCACGTGATGAAGGTGGTTTACAACAAAGATTAGACCAACTTAGTGAAAATTTTCTATCAAACATCGACAACTGTCCCTAGGGGAGCGGCGAACTTGCGGCCACTGGTGACGAACCCCAACCACCCAAACATGTTTACTACTCATGCCTCTTAAGTTGAGTCAGAAAGACAACGCTGCTCTAAATTTGGTTGGGAAACAGTAAATGTTGCCGTTGTCAATAGCACTTAGCGGAAAAGATCAGTCTGCCGATGACATCAGTTAAGCGGAAGGAGACAAGAATGGATACTGGTTACATGAAGACTGTAAGGTAATTGCATTTAATAAGAATATTTAGGGGAGATTTTAGAACAGTTTTGCGTCAAATTGTGCCCCTAAAATGAGTAAGCTTCAGATTTATGTTGCGCCGCATTTAATTATTGCGCGCTCCTTTCTTATATGCTAAGCTCCCGTTAGGGCGAGGTAAGGACCTCACCCTGTCTGACTGACTCTACAAACCTATATATCTAACTTTGAAAACTTACAACGATAACCGGTAGTCATGCCAAATCCATCGCTTTTGCTAGCGGAATAAGCAAACACCAAAAAATCACAAAACGCTTCTTACGGAATCGTTGTGCCACGTTTCAAATAACACAAAGGATTGCATGAAGTGAGTGAATATGGATTCTGCAGTGAACACTTGCACCACCAAATATTTGCAGTTATGGTAGGGGGCTCTCACCGATCGTTTGCAGTTATCTTCTCAAACTAGCTTCATCAGGGACCATCAGCGCTGTTTCCGTCAATTTGCAGTCGAGTTCTCAGCTGTGCAAGTCTACTACCACTATAAACTAATTCACTCGCAAGTCACCGTGTCTGCTTCACCTTGCTATAGAGCACACGGTGGACGTCGCCGTCAACGACGGTCAAACCGTCATGTCTTCGACGGAACCACGAACAAACGGCCCTGTGTCACCGACACCCAACGTTACGCTAGCCGGTCGTTTGGTTGTTTCGTTTGCAAGTTAGGTATGAGACTGAGGAATTTCTGTCTCCACACTGTCTCGTCTGTCCACGTAGGCATGCTCACGTTGATGCTTACAGAGTATACGCCAACAAACGCGCCGTTGAGGAAGAAAATACGGCATCTACATTACGCGAAAATGAGAGACGGAGAGTGAGAAAGGAAGAACGAACCTGCATGCTGCTCTCCTCCTCGTCCCCCCCCCCTCCTCCTCCTCCCCTCGGCACGCGCCTCCGTTAGTCCGCCGGTGTCCGTCTACGCTTTGCATACACGCGCGCACAGGCAAAAACCTGACTTCCGCCTGCCACCATTACGTCAAACAGCCCGTCATATGACAGTTACAGCCGCAGAAAATAAAGAGAGGAACAGAAACAGGGAAAGTGCGATTGGCTTCTAGATGTTACTGAATGCTTGCGTCATATGCGAGAATCAACCTAGGGTGGGCGCTACCATCTGTCAACATCTGAGGGGGGGGGGGCAGTATGGGAATGTGGATGAGGTGACGTAAGGAAGTAAAGCATGTGTACTCCATGCGGAACGAGAGAGGTAGTTAAATGTTCCCTTGACTTTTTGAAGCCTGAATCTTTCTGGCCGTATAGCAAGCTAGGAAGAACACAGGTTTGACTTATCCAGTAGCCCACTTTGTTCTTACTGTGTGATTTTGTGACAGCGTGACTGCACCTGAAAATCCTAACGACACAGTTTGTTTTGTGCAAATTTTAACAATGAATTGCTCGACAAGAAGCTCATACGATCTGGTTTTTGCACATGGACTGGGTTTAGTCGGCTTTGGGAAGTCAGGCCTTCTGTGCAAATTTCTTAAAACCCACTGAGAATGGATGAGAAAAGGTACTATCAACAGATTTCAATACAAAAATGACCTTCGGTAAGCCAGCGGTTGACGGCGACCAGGGGGCGAAAGATTAATGTTGAGAAGAATGTGACTGTGGGTTGTAGGATTGCTCTTGACGGAACATTGCATACGACATCGGTCGTAAGCACTAATATGTACTGTGTATAAGAGGGCTTCTTTTCATTAGGGAGTCTGCGGCACACAAAGCCAAACTTCCAAGATAAGCATTATTTGCTTGGTAGCATGAATTTTGTGGTATCCCGCCTCTTCATCATCCAGTAACTGACCGAGCTCATGAAATGTTGGCCGAAATTCTGAAATGCGTGTACGATCAGGAAGGATTACTTTGGTGGGGTTGTAATATCGATTATCATGCGGCACGATCCTATAATATTTTGGACTTGCCAGGATGTCGGCTTTTGAATGCGCTTATTTTCGACCTTCTATAGAAACCTCACTCGGTAAAAAAAAGTGGCTGCTTAAGTAGCACGCATTTTTCGCATTGATTTTCGACGGTCTTATAAATTCAAATGTATTTTATAGAAATTGTGTGTAAAAGATGCTTTCCTTCCTCGTTCGATAGAAAATCATGTCGTCTTTACATTTTATGTCCGAAGGAAGGGCATATCTCGGTTTTTAAAAAATTTCCAAATTCCCGAACAATTTTCAGCCTGATCAGCCGTCGCATTAGCGTTTGGCGATTTCAGTCTACAAGATGTATGCTTTCCGCGTAAGGGAAATTATACACTCCTCTAGGTCTTTAAGAAGACATCACATAGAGTTCATAAAATTTTGCAATGGATGAGGATTATCTCGTATATTTCATGAGGAGCATTGGTAAGCGTACGGATGCGATGCTAAAGAATATCGTAATTGGAAACTCCTTTAAAACCGAAATGCATCCTTCCTTCGGGCGTAAAATGTAAAGACAACATGATTTTCTATCGAACGAGGAAGGAAAGCATCTTTTACACACAATTTCTATAAAATACATTTGAATTTATAAGACCGTCGAAAATCAGTGCGAAAAATGCGTGCTACTTAAGCAGCCACTTTTTTTTACCGAGTGAGGTTTCTATAGAAGGTCGAAAATAAGCGCATTCAAAAGCCGACATCCTGGCAAGTCCAAAATATTATAGGATCGTGCCGCCTGATAATCGATACTACAACCCCACCAAAGTAATCCTTCCTGATCGTACACGCATTTAAGAATTTCGGCCAACATTTCATGAGCTCTGTCTCTCATTGTAAATGTTACTTTTTATGTACAACCCCACGAGAGGTGTCATGGGATTCAACCGTGCCCGGTAAAGTCAAGTTCAGATTGTGCGCTAGACGTCTGTATTTATAACTCCAAAGAAACCTCTACCAGGCAGATACTGATCAGACAAGTTTAATACATACATTCTAGTTGAACTTATTATCCAAATTGTAAATCTTCTAGGCTGAATAGAAACTATGTGGTTGTGGGACTACCGCTGTGTATACATCTCTATTGGATAGTTCTATGAAACACTAGGCTTTTCGCTCACGAGCCCCGGGGAAATCGAAAAAGCCTATTCAGACTGCCGTGTGCGCCAGATTTATGACGCAATTGTAGGTTTGCAAATGCAGGCCTGTAGTGCACGTCAAAAGGAGTTATGGATGCATGCACTCATACTAGCGCTGTTCACACAGCGTCTGAATGATCATGAGTTCACTCGGGACGTAGATCACCGTGTCGACTGCGACCCAAGGAGTATTGATTCCACATACCTGTGCCCCGATATTTGCATAATTGGCGTTTAGGATGAGATACTTTGACGCACCATCGTGTCAAGTTAAACGGCAAGGGGAGGTTGAAGGAATCCCGCAAGGACATTAAAAATTCGCACCCACCTGACTGCCCAAATGTTCGTGCCAACGAGTATTTGGAAAGTGGATGGAGAATCATTGCCGACGAACGGTATTTCTGGTTTACGATGCATAATTTAAAGCGATTACTTTAGGGTAAGGGGATTCCATACTAAAAACACCGGTACTATCCAAAGACCCATGTGCGCGGGCTTCGCCGATATTCTGCCTCTGTATGCCACAGCTGCGAGCGGTTCTGCTCGTCAGTGGGTCCCCCAGCATTCTCCGTCTGCTTTCTGGTAGATACTCCTGTTTATAAATTGCTGCTTTTTAATTTTTGGCCCAAATATTCATGCATAAAAACTTCGGTCTGAGCCTATAGACCTAGAATATACTGATATACTTCAGGTTCGCAGTTCATTTCTGAGGAGATTATAAAGCAACAATTAAAGTTATTAACACACTCTTATCAATGGACAGTTCGGCGGTCTTAACCGGCGACGGCTGACTTAATCATACCATGTTTGTGGCCTAAGCGGTGGATAATGTGTTTTGCGTGGTCCTGTTGCGATGTTTTCGGAGGTGTCCAGTGAGTCTAATCCTTGTACCCAAATGTACGCTGAAATTCGAGGACGGATCTGAGAGCCCTGAAATATTTTGGCGGAGAATGTCTCAGTGATAATGTTCGTTGCGCTAAAAGACACAGGAGTGATAGATCGGAATGACCTTGACCCGGAATACGCATTTGGAAAGCGAAATCGCCTTAGCGAAAGGGCAGGCATATAATTTTTATGACATGTTTTCTAGCTTCTCACCCCTTGAGGAGACCGTTCACTTCAGTATATAATGGTAGAGGGGTGCTCACCGATCGTTCTTACGGAAGTCACTCGTTCCGTTGTGCCTTACGGGCA